CGAGCAAGGTTTCTTTGCTGATGATTTTCTTCATCTGGCGAAAGGCCTTGTCGTGTTCAGCTTCCCATTTCCACTTCTTTGTTTTGGAAGTCAAAGAAGCAAGTGGTGCTAGTACATGTGATCGTCTAATCCACATGTCTCGGTAGTAGTCCACTAGTCCAATGAATCTACGGAGTTCCTTCCTACGGTATTCGTAGGAGGAGCGATATTCTGGATCGCATCTATTTTCTTGGTTGCGGGTTGGATTCCTTCTCGAGTAATCCAGTAGCCTAAATACTCAAGTTCTCCTCTTGCGAAGAAGGACTTGGTAGCATTGATCTTAAGTCCGGCTTCTCGAAGCCTTCGGAGAACTTCATCTAACTTTTCAACGTGATCTGCTAGATCGCCGTTAGTTAGGATGAGTAGATCGTCAATGTAAGCAAAAACGTATTCCAGGTCGTGCATAAGTGTTCCCATCTTCTCTTGGAAGATGTCGGGACTATTACATAGGCCCATTGGCAACCTCTGGTACTCGTACTTTCCCCATGGAAGAACGATAGAACAGAGTTGTTTCGAGTGAGGTGACAGCTCGATGTGATAGTATCCCATGTTTAAGCAGAGACTAGTAGCGTACTTGAATCCATCTAGATTCAAAAGCATGTCTTGTATCTTTGGGATAGGATAAGGTTTTCGCTTAATCCTTTTGTTCAGTTCCCGGAAGTCAGAGATGAATCGTACAGATCCATCCTTCTTGGGAATGATTATGTTGGTGCCGCCCACTCGGAACGGTTTACCTTCTTGAGTACTCCTGCTTCGCAGAGACGTTCAACCTCCATCTTAAGAGTATTGGTATGGACACGTGGAATAGGATAAGCCCTAGCATGATAGGGTTTAGCATCAGGGAGAAGTTCTACTTCGTAGTCGTCCATCTGCCACTTTCCTAAAGTACCATCGAATAGGTCGGAGTACTTGTTCAGTAAGGAATGGAGCTGTTCCTGCTCTTCCTTATTTAACTGATCCTGACTCTGGCATACCTGCCTTAAGTCAGCTTGTTCGTATTTCGCATCAAGAATCTTCTTGAGATGATCTGCACTATCGTCGACAGCTGTAGGATCAGGAATGAAGAAGTTCTCTTCTTCATTGGTATCGCTATCTTTCATAGGAATAGATATGCCGTCCCACTCCACTGACATGGTAGTGAAATCGAACTTAAATCCTAAGTCTGACAACAACAAAAATCAAAGTCTCCTATTAACGGATTCAGACAAGCTGTGCTTGAGGACGACCCACGAGCCGAGGCCCGGGTATTTCCTACAGTCATGTCCGCTCACCGGCCACACGCGCCCCGGAGGGTGTGCAACTGCTTTATGCGATCTAAATGAGTAAACTCCATGGCTACACCACTGGAACCATAGTGAATGCTCATTCTAAGTGTTGAAAGGTGGCGGTCTTTCATGATCACAAGGGAATTTGAAATGATAGAAGTTGGAGGTAGGAGGTTGAAACAAGGCATCTTCGTCATCTCTCTGACGCGGATTGCTTAGATAGCTGTAGACGTTCTGACCTGACAAATGTGTAACAATAATATACATGGGCCACTTTGTGACTTTGGGGTCGAGACAAAAACCTCTGGGGAAAATTCTCGTTGGAACTGACAAATATGTAACGAAGATGGGGGAGATTTTGGGATTTGTACAAGGTGAGGTGATATCATAGGGATTGGGGAGTTGTTGGTCTCTGTGGGGTGCTGGTAGGTTGCTGGCTGTTGATGTTGTTTGTGTTGGTGGGGGCTCTGCAGATACAATCTTAAGGTGGAGGGTGTGTCGTTGTGGTTTTTGGTTTAAGGTTAGGGTTGTCGGGACAAGCAGCAACGGTCATCGCCAACGACAACGAAGACGATGACAATGGTGCTTTTCCGGCTGCTTTTTGAGATCTTTGTTGGCAGGTGAAGAGCTTTCGCTCTTTGGTCTTGATAGTGGAGGTACACTGTTGATTGCTGGTGCTTGGAGGGATTTCAAATGGTTTTGTAGAGGAGCAGATGACGTTTCGTGACTCAAATCGAGTGGTGGGGAAGAAGATGACGTTCTTCATGCAATAGATTCTTTGTTGGATGAGTTCAAATAGCTATAGGAAGTTCTATAACTGATAGTGATGGTGCTATGGTTTTGTACTGTTGTGGAGGTTTGCTTATGATATCTGGGACAGCTACTGTGCTATAACGCATCGCGGTAGCGCTTTTCCGTTTCAGTCCCGAAGGAAAAGTAAATCCTAAGTCTGACAGAATGTCTCGACCTATGATCATTTCATACGCCCCCAAGCTCTTGGTGACGTGTAAATCCCATTCGATAATTCTATCATCGTGGAATTCAGGAATCATAAATGCACCTTTACACTTCGTGCTGGTGTTTAATTCTCCTGCAGGGGTAGTCCACATTGTCTTGACGCCCCAAGATCCTTCATGCGTAATTTCTTAGCATGAGTTTGAGCAATCAAAGTTCCGGATGCTCCTGTATCCAGTAAGCAGCGGAGTGTAACGGGTTTTGGTTTCCCTTTTTCTCGTCTGTTAAATCTAACATAGATGATAGGTTTGAGGTCTCTTGTCTTGCGACGTTTACGAGGTGGTTGGCCACGGACGAGGTTAACAATGCTAAATAGATCGTCAGAATCTAATTGAGCAGCTTCTAGGCAATCATCTAATTTGCCGTAGACTTCATCAGTTGCAAACAATTCTTGTTTACTAGTTAGTGAGATATCTTCATCACTTAGGTATGAGAAATCGGAACATGGTTCCGTGATCCTCAGACGGAGACTTCTCCATCCGATTGATTGAAATCGAAGTCGGCAAGAGCCTTGTCGACTGCGGCCATTTTCTTGTCCATCATGTTGAGGGACCCGACAGAGGAGTTATTCTCGTTATCGGAGTCATCCGATTTGCGCTTGGCGACATGGTTGCATTCGCCTGCTTCTTGCGATCGGCCTTAAAAGCAGCGTTGGAAACTTTCTTCATAAGGACAGAAAGTTCCTTCTTGGTGTAAGACTTGGCATCGTCATACTTACGTTTCCAAGTCTTGTTCTTGTTGTACGCTGGCTTGCTATCAGAGCCGGACGAAGACTTGGTCTTGAGTTTCTTGAGAGTCATGCAATCAGCAGTATCGTGAGTGCTAGACTCGTGGTAGTCACACCACTTTCCTCCGTTCTTGGACGAGTTGTTGCGGTTGGACTTGTACTTCTTGCTACTCTTCTTAGAGTTGGTGCTGTTCTTGGCAACCTCGGATCCTTCGTCGAAGTCTTCAGAGGATTCCATGCGTTCGCAGAATCGAATGAGTGCACCGATCTCTGCAGTGAAGGGATCGAAGTCGTGTTCGTCCATCTTCTTCATCCAGGATTGGGGAAGTCCATGACAGATAATGTCAATGAATTCGTCTTGGTTCACACCTTGGTTGACTCCAAAAGGTGGTAGACAAGGAAGTTCATCGGTGTTCATCCGAGTGAGGTTGTTGACATAAGCGCGAGTAGACATCTCGCTGGGCTTACGCATCTTACGGCGCATGAAGCGTTTCTGCTTTTCAAGAGCCTTGTATGGACAGACCGCTTCAATGCAGGAGTTGATTCCCACGGTGATGTCACCGTCGTCCAAAGCAGGTTCTGCTGATCCGTTCCACGCAGTCTGGACACGGATTTGGAATGCGGCTTCGGTTTCTCCAGAAGTCACGTCGCGTGGAGGAATTGCATTGACTGCAATTTGGCGAAGGGTATTCCATCGCATGGTACGACTTCCTTCCGTACCAGCTTCGTAGGCACTCTTGGCAGAGCTCGAAGTCATCTCCTTGAGGAGATTATGTTTGTCGTTGGCGTCAGCGATGTTGAGTTGGCAAAGTTCTCTTGTTCAATCCTTTCCTCAATAAGGAAAGGCTCTTAGTCAGTTCAACCTGATATCAACTCAGGACGGTCTTCAAAGGTAGTTTCAGTGCACTCAGCAGGTGCTATCAAGTGCTATGGATGCAATACACTATCCTGGTCAACAGGAACACTTTATACTTATGTTAAACTAGTAATTGTGAGCTCTCGGGGCTCCTAAAGTCAACTACGGTGCCAGGTTTCGAGTGCCACGAAATGGGGCTACCGTAATGGCCAAAAATGCTCTTTCGGCTACCTTTCAGCGTCCGAATTTCATACTGGAACATACCAGTCAACCAAATATCCATACATAGGGACCTTCTTAGGCTAATCTCTCATAATGTCCTCCAATACATAGGAGTCAAGCACAAAGTTACATGGGCAGCAAGGCCACAGGGACATAGAACAATTTAGTCTTGTAAAGCCAAATTTTGGCAGCAGGGCTGCCATACATTGTTCCAGAGTGACAGACAATCAGAGAAACCAGCACAGTTGTAAAGACATTCAGAGTCTAACACTCTGACAAACCAACAGTGCTGGCTTCACATCATGTGGCAGCAAACCAAATCCTGCCACTCCCCTTGGGTTGGTGGCACAGGCACATAGATTCAAACATACACAGTGTAAGGTGGGCACTCAATCATCAAATCGCCCATACAGTACCTGCTTGCAGAGCTGGTACATCTTGTGGGGTCCAAGAGGCTTGGTCCCCATATCCGCAAGGTTCCATCCTGATGCGATCTTCCCAACCCTGACAACACCAATGGCAACAGCTTCTCTGCACTTGTGGTAGGCACAGGCATGGTGCTTCTTCTTGAGGGAGGAGGATGGCAACTGTAGGTTGTTGACAACTGACATGTTGTCAACCAAGATGGAGGTCGGGGTTTTCACTTCAACTCCCAACATTCTGGCCTTGTACCTCATGGCAAGGGCAGCCTCAATCCCAATCCTTGCTGTGACCAACTCAGCTCCATAGGTGGAGCATTCAATGGTGGCCAACCTCTTGGAGTTCGACTTGGTGGGCATTTGTCCAAAGAAAGCGATGTATGAAGCCACACTGGACATGTCAATCTTGTTTGAGGCATGGCTTGCATCCACCATGATGACTTGGGTGATCTCTGGGACTAGGGACTCAGGGGCATCTGGGTCAATGGGCTCCATGGAGTCAGGGTACAATCCGGTCCAATCATTTCCTTCAGAGAACTGAAAATCCCCTAGGACAGCTGGAGAGGGGTTGGCAGCAAGCCTAAGCTTGGGCCTGAACTTGAGGTATCCATACATCCTCAGCAAACGGCCCTCATGACCCTCCCTGGACTCCCTACCATACCTAGCCATGGTATTGACAGTGTACTGGATGTCAATTCTCCCCAGTGTAACTGCCCACTGGCCACAACCAACCAACATCTGGTAAAGGGTAACTCTGGTGCTGTCTAGGTAGGGGGACTCATCCAACTCGAGGTGATCTTCTGGTTCCATGGGAGATCCATAGTTCTTCAGTGTGATCTTGTAGAGTGCTTCAAGCTTGGGGATCAAATTCTCAATGTAGGTCTTGGCAGAGAACTCCCAGAGTCCTGTCTCAGGGTTGAAGGTCAAGTCTCCTCCACTGTAGTACTCAGGGGTGCCTACTCCTTTCATCTCAAACTGGTAGATATCCTTGAGGGGCTCAATCCTTTCATCTCAAACTGGTAGATATCCTTGAGGGGCTCAATCACTTGGTGTGGGGCCTTGGAGAACACCAGAACATCATCAACGATGACCCCAACATACTCATAGTGGGTCACCCTGTGTCTCATCCAAATGTTGCTATCAGCCCTGGAAGGTTTGAAGCCCATCTGGATGAGGGTGTCTGCAAACATCTGCCACCACATGGCGCCAGAGACCTTGAGTCCATACAATGCCCTGATGACAATGCACAAAATACCAGCCAGCTCTCCCCATTCATCTCCGAGGGTCAAACAGATCTTCTCAACTGTGAGGGACATCAGGTAGGCATACCCAACATCCCCTGCAATCACCTCTAGTTTCATCAAGGCGGCAGATCTATGAGTATGAAGAGATCGTGAAGATGCTAACCAGGTCAGATGATGCTGATGCAGAGTACTGGGATTTTGATAAGATCCTAGACCACAAATGGTCCAAACAACCTGGTAGACAAGGGCAAGGAAGATCTGATGTCAAGGTCAAGTGGAGTGGTTTCCCTGAGGATGAGGCTACTGGGAACCCATGGAAGTGATCAGGAAGGACAGCCCAACAGTCCTTGCAGAGTATGCAGCCCTCAAAGGCATTGTCCATGAGTCCAGGTGGAAATGGGCCCACAAGTATCTGAAGAACAGGAAGAAGTTCATCAGGATCAGAAAGCAATGGAGGCTGATGAAGAAGAGGACTGGTGGTGCTGTCAGATATGAGTTTGGAGTGAGGGTTCCAAGGACCAAGGCAGAGGCTTACAAGCTGGATGAGATCAATGGCAACTCATTGTGGACCGATGCCATTGAATTGGAGGTGGACACACTCAAGAATAGGTTCCCCTGCTTCAAGAAAGCCAAACCAGGGGAGGTGACCGATGAGTACCAGGAGATCAAGTTGCTCTGGCGTCTTCTCTGTGAAGTTTGATGGAGGCACCGAGCCAGGTTGTTGCAGGTGGCCATATGACTGAGGACCACCCATATGACCTCTACTCTGGGGTTGTTGATCTCGAGAACATCAGGATGGTGTTTGTCATTGCTGCATTGATGAGCTAGAGGTGATTGCAGGGGATGTTGGGTATGCCTACCTGATGTCCCTCACAGTTGAAAAGATCTGTGTGACCCTTGGAGATGAATGGGGAGACTAGCTGGGGTCTGTGCATCGTCATCAGGGCATTGTACGGGCTCAAGGTCTCTGGTGCCATGTGGTGGCAGACGCTTGCAGACACCCTTATCCAGATGGGCTTCAACCCTTCCAGAGCTGATAGCAACATTTGATGAGGAACAAAGTGAACCACTATGAGTATGTTGGGGTCATTGTTGATGATGTTCTGGTGTTCTCCAAGGCCCCTCACCAAGTGATTGAACCCCTCAAGGACATCTACCACTTTGAGATGAAAGGAGTAGGCACCCCTGAGTACTACAGTGGAGGAGACTTGACCTTCAACCCTGAGACAGGTCTCTGGGAGTTCTCTGCCAAGACCTACATTGAGAACTTGATCCCCAAGCTTGAAGCACTCTACAAGATCACATTGAAAAACTATGGATCCCCATGGAACCAGAAGATACCCCGAGTTGGATGAGCCCCCCTACTTGGACAGCACCAGAGTTACCCAGTACCAGATGTTAGTTGGTTGTGGTCAGTGGGCAGTTACACTGGGGAGAATTGACATCCAGTACACTGTCAATACCATGGCTAGGTATGGTAGGGAGCCCAGGGAGGGTCATGAGGCCGTTTGCTGAGGATGTATGGGTATACCTCAAGTTCAGGCCCAAGCTTAGGCTTGCTGCCAACCCTTCCTCCAGCGTCCTAGGGGATTTCAGTTCTCTGAAGAAATGATTGGACCGGATTGTACCCTGACTCCATGGAGCCCATTGACCCAGATGCCCCTGAGCCCCTTGTCCCTGAGATCACCCAAGTCATCATGGTGATGCTAGCCATGCATCAAACAAGATTGACATGTCCAGTGTGGCCTCCTACATTGCTTTCTTTGGACAAATGCCCACCAAGTCCTACTCCAAGAGGTTGGCCACCATTGAGTGCTCCACCTATGGGGCTGAGTTGGTCACAGCAAGGATTGGGTTGAGGCTGCCCTTGCCATGAGGTCAAGGCCAGAATGTTGGGAGTTGAAGTGAAGAACCCAACCTCCATCTTGGTTGACAACATGTCAGTTGTCAACAACCTACAGTTGCCGTCCTCCTCCTCAAGAAGAAGCACCATGCCTGCGCCTACCACAAGTGCAGGGAAGCTGTTGCCATAGGTGTTGCCAGGGTTGGAAGATGCATCAGGATGGAACCTGCGGATATGGGGACCAAGCCTCTTGGACCCCATATGCCGGCTCTGCAAGCAGGTACTTTACGGGCGATTTGATGATTGAAGAGCCCACCTTACCCCTGTATGTTTGTCTCTGTGTTTGTGCCACCAACCCAAGGGGAGTGACAGGATTTGGTTTGGAGCCACATGATGTGAAAACATTACTGCTGGCTTCCAACTATGTCTGTCTTTGGTTGTTTACACAGTAGTGCTGGTTTCTCAGATTGTCTGTCCTGGAACAAGTGTGCTGCCTGGAATTGTTTCACTCTGGATATTGTATGGTTGGCATGTGCTCTAAGTCTTTAGGCATGACTCATAATTATCTTTGGGCATGACTCTATAAGTATCTTTGGGCAAGATCTCCTAGATGATGGAAGATACTATGAGGTCTTGGGACAGCATGATTACTATATGTTTGATGACATTATGAAGTCCTGGACTATGAATGTCCCTATGTATCAATGTTTGGTGGTCAGGTGAGGTCCTGGATGAAGGTTTATATGACAGAAGTGGCTGGAAGTCCCGTTTACGGTCTGTAGGAAGTCCCATTTCGCGGCCTTCGAAATGTGCCACTGTATTTGACTTTAGGAGCCATGTGTGCTCACAATTCTTAGTTTAGCATAACAAATAAGTGTACCTGTTGACCAGGACAAAGGATTGTACCTATTACACCTGATAGCACCTGCTATTTGCACCCAAACTACCTTGAAACCCGTCTTGAGTTGACCTCAAGACTTTGCCAGGAGCGCCATGGTCGCGCGCAAAATCCTATTGTTGCTGTTCGAAGACGTTGAACTGTTGCTGCTGCTGCTGCTGCTGATGTTGATGATCGAACGGCTGCTGCTGTGGATGATGAGCGACCGGAGTGGGAGCAGCGGCAGTAGTAGCCGGTGGTGCCGCGGTAGGGATGGCAACAGGAGTGCCATGGTCGCTGTTGTTGTTGTTCGTGGAATGAAAAAATTCGTCGAACGGATTGACTGCTGCTAGCGGTGGTTCGCTCGTCGGTGCAAAGGTGTCATCGTGAAGGAGTAGCAGGTCTCCGGTGGCTGGAGCTGTGGATTCGCTGTCGGGAGGAGATGGGATCCTCATTGTCGCGATTTTTTGGCGATCCAGCGTGGAAGGATCGATTGATCGATCGATCAATCAATCTCCGGCTGTAGGCGACCGGAGGAAGCGCCGACGGTAGCTACTGCTGCGTCCGTCGCTGCTGTTGTTGTTGGTGAGGAAGGATTGGTAATACTAGTAGTTGGGCTCAAGGATTGGTAATACTAGTAGTTGGGCTCAATGACCTATTAAGCAAGAAGCGCCATTGTGTATTGGTTTAAAGAGTGAGTCTATTTGAATGGCGGTGAGCCACCTTAGCTATAAGCCTGCAGGCTGTCTATGTATCGATCCAAACGCTAACACAGACTAGATGCCCTGTAGGGGGATGGGCACACTGATCAAGAAGGGCATTACATAGGGTTTTTCTGGTTGTTGAAACCGATACCACCACCGGTACCGTCGAAACCAAGGAGGTTCCAAACCAAACGAGCTCTCGCCAATAAGTGCATCGCTCTGGGTGATCAGGTCCCAAGCTGTGGCCATTGCCTTGTCGTGCGAGGCAAGGTGCCAACAGAGTCCATAGGCGGCGGTGCGCCTAAGACTGGACCAAGACAAGTTGTAACCCACCCAGTGGACAAACAGTGTTAGGCAAAGTCCAACGAGTATCCAGAAGATGGCCCCGCGCTGGGGTAAGTGATTTTTAATTATTCCTACAGTTTGGCTTTGCGGGATCCACGGAGACATAAATGGGTAGCTTTCACAAGGCCAATTGAATTACGGGTTTGCATGAAGAATATTATTTCATCGAGAGTAGGAAAATTGACTTTGTAGGCAGTAGCAGAAGCAAGGCGTTGTAAGAGAATCTTGGCTTGGGGAGCAAGCATGTTGAACGACGACTATTACACTACAGCATGACTAGCATGCGGGACTGCCTACATATTTTCATATTATTATTATTACAGGAGTCACTCAGTTTAGCGACTCCAGGATGGCAGTCTTCCTTAAGAACTACCTAAGAAACAGTCTATTGAGTGTGTACAGTTCTTCTAGCATTAGTTCCAGTTGTCTCGGTCAGTTTGTCGTTTCGGGCAACTCATGACATGGTCCTTGTCCTCTTCGTGGTAGCCACATGATGCACATGCAATGGGATATTTGGGATCGTACTTGTTGACGCGGGTACCCACGGGTTGCCAGCAAATCAGATACTTTATCATGGAGGTTTGGTATGCTTTCATTCGATTTAATGCTCATCCATGACACGTCCAGTCAATGTCATCAAATATCTCCTGGTCCCATTCATACTTGTCCATGAGAAATGCGGCATGGTCAGGCACAGATCGAGCCAATTTGAGTTCATGCTTGAGGTTGTGGGTGAGAGTTCCATAGGGCAAGTTGATTTGACATCCACTGGTGGGCAGGATTGGGACTTTGGAGTGATCGAAATTGGGGTGGGCCTGGAGCCAGTCATCAGCCAACTGATCAGCATCAATGTTGAGTTGAGCCTCTAAGTCCAGTTCGTCATATGGCTTAGCGTCGTCCTGGTGTCCTTTGACATGTCGAATGCTGGGGACGGATTCGGGTGGACTGATTGTCGTAAGGTTTCTCGGATCTCAGCGATAATGTCCCATTCGGATGAAATAGTGCTGTTGGGAAAGACTTTGGAGAATTTGGAATATTTGACGACAACCTCTACCATGGACTTGTTGTCACAATATACCCGATGACGTTTGAGTGGTGAGTCAGCTGATCCATGAAGCTTGTGCATATGGTGTAGAAATCGAAACCCTGACAGCAAGCCATAACCTTCTGCTCGGTAGGAGTTAACTTTGTAGCCAAAGGCGGGGCCACTGCATTGTGCTAGGCGCTGTCCAGCTGGAGTGCTAAGGACCCATGCAAAGGAGCCTTTGCCTTCTGGGGCGGAACCATCGCTGACAAGAATACATCGGCTAGTGGAAAGTGCTGTCCAGACATCCTGTTCAGGGACCAGAAGTTCCAAATCGCGAAGCAGATGGTGTTCCCAAATGTTCAAGTTAGGAATGAGTGATGTGATTGTTGTGTGGGTTGCTGGGGGTGTTGGTGAAGTGACATTGTGATATCCTTTCATCTGGATGGTCCCTAGGGGTCTGATAACAAAATCACATGGGGCAGCCGTTGGTGGTAGGGAATGGACAGTCTCCAGGGAAGTATTGTCATAGTCAGTGTACAGACATGCATGTTTGGTCCAGCCCTGGGGTGCTTGACAGTAGACAAAGTCAGCGATATTATTGTCTGTGCCGGGATCATATACGACAGGCCATTGGCGCTTGAGATTGTTGATGGGGTGGAGCCAATCGGTGAGTTGGTGTGGGGGCTTCAGTCTTTTGCGAAGGCGAGCTGTTGTGCAGAAGAGATTGAGGGCTCTTTGCCAAGCTGCCCATGCTGTGGCTCCTGGTTTTGCTTGATTCACCCTGTGATGGTTGCATTTGCTCATTGCGTTGTCGAAATCTCCACTGTACATGGCTGGATCAATGGTATCCCCTGCAGCATTGCAAACGTCCGACAGGAACACCACATTCAAGTACATCCGACAGCAGTTGATGTGCTTGATGTCTTTTGGGCCGAAGAGAGCTTTTCCAGCATTGGGGCCATTGGTCTTGCGTGCCTGAACTACAACTGACATGATGGCCTTGTCATTGACCCGTTGTGGTTGTGGGGTATATGGGTTGTGAATCTCCAAGTTGGCATCTATTGAGCGGAGATATTCGTGCAAGGATTTGAGCCATTTGGATTCCAAGTGATGGGTCAGTGGGATTTGTGGGTTTCCCAATATGGACCAATCAACGCCTGCGCAGAATTGGAGCCAAGCAACAGTGATATGGAGAAGTTTGCCCTGAGGGCTGTCAGGTGACCGCCATGATTTCAAAAAGTGCCTGCATTGTCCATATCCCTGATCATCGTACAAATGAAACATGCCTGCATAAAGATGATGCCATCAGTAGCATCCAGTCACTACCAATTTCAACCCCACTGGCAATGCATCGAGCACAAAGGGTCCGAGAGGACAGACCTGGGGCCTACAATGTGGCTGGGATTAGACCAATATTTTATCCACCAAAGAAATAGGCCATTGACATTTACCAGCCATGAATCAACGGCAGTGCATTGCTCCCAGGAACCCCATTGGAAGCTTTGTTCAGCCTTGCTATTCTTTGGGCCCGCCACCTTTGCATGCATGGTCCTCGTGCGATATGTCCCTGCTGGCACAATGAGCTACTGCCGTCCCCTCTGCAATGCCATCAGCTTGTCTCTTATGGAAAACTTTAGTATGCACAAAGCCCCGTCCGTTAGCACCTCGGCCCAAATCCTCGATGGCAAACAGGTATTTTCTTGGGCGCAGCGACCACATCCCATTTCGGCACAACATTTTTCAGTCGTGTCCATAGAACACGCGTCGCTGAACCCTTGACAAGCTTCAAAATGGTCTGCTTGTTCAGTTGGTCGAATGGGGTTGCAGCCATATGGGCGGAACTTCGATGAGCCGATAGATGCAATGGCTCGAACAAGTGTAGCGCTGTCGGTTTTGGTGAATTTCTGGGACACGTGTAAAATGCGAGCGGTTGTATCCAATTCATCACGGTCATCTTCGTTTTCATCCGGCACATCCTGCGTTAGTCTCTGCTACTTGTATCATACTTGTACCCGCCGCCTCGTCGTCGTCCGTTCCCTCGTCGTGGCCCAGGCCTACCGTACCGGCATTCATCAAACCCGGAAAGAACTGGCATGCACTGACACCCCCTCAGAAATAAGAACGCAAAGATCCAAGAAAGATTT